AAAACAGCACTCAAGGTATTTGTGGAAAAGGATTTACGCATGGTTAAATAATATTAATTTTTCCTCTCTATGTTTTCTTAATACATAAGTCATAATATTATCTTTTTATATTTAATCCTATTTCACAGATTATTTTAAATTCTTGCTGGGCATGAAGCTGATACTTTCAGACATCTATCCTCAATAATTCCAGTGTCTCTTCCCTAGATGTTAAGAAAAATGAGAGTTTAGAGACAGGCATCATGCATTGTTTTCTCCTTACACGTTACTTTGTTTTTTTTTTTTCCATTTAATTTAATATAATGTTGTTGAGGGTTAGGTGTCCTTTTTTTTTTTTGTTTTGTGTTCTGGCCTGCCCGTGGAATTTTTACTCATTATATGCTGGCTTTCTTCGGCTTCGGGGAAGGACGTTCGTGTGCTGGGTCGCGGAGCTGCTGCGGTAGAGAGAAGGGAATTTTGCCATCACCCAGACGGAGCTGCTGCTTCTTCTCCTTCTCCCCTCTTTGTTGGTGGCCTCGCACCCCCTCCCTGCTGGGACGTGTGGCAGTGCCAGGCACCGCCGCGGAGCTGCTGATACACCTCAGCCACCAGCCCAGGTGTATCAGGTGGCCACCGGCTCAGCTCATCCCTGCTGCTCCAGCCGAGTGTTCCTCAGAGCCCTGCAGGAGCACCGGGACTGACTGCCCGAGGGGTTTGTGAAAACAAAGCTTCTCCTCCATCCCAATTCAGAGGGAGGGGGTCTACATTCTTTCATCCCAAGGGAGGCTCCTGCTCTCCCTAGCAGACACCAGTCTTCTAGAACCGAGACGAATGTGTTATAAACCAGTTGCTTAGTATCACAAGACCCTTCCACAAAGCTTAACTATCTGGCCTAGTGTGCTGGTACCAGCCTGGAAAACATGCTCCTGGTCCTATGGTGCTGCATTGCAGCTCTGCAGGCCTCCAACAGCCACAGCACTTGGCGTTTGTTTGGATCAACCAGGACACCTAGGGGTCAGTGCTGGAGGATGGCAGAGCTCTGCTAGTTTTGTTCTTTTGTAATTCACAACTGGGCACCACCACACTGGCTTTCCACTGCAATTTTTCCAGTACCAGGAACCAATTTTGATGCTCATGTGTGGCTCATGACCAGTTTTGTAATAGCTTCCAATATTTTTGGTCTTGAGATCTGTACTGCAGCAAGATGAATCTCTGGAAAAAACTCTTGTGTCTTGCTGTCAATCTTACATAGCAGCCAACAGCACTCTGAAACTTTTGTTTATTGTACCTATTCAGAGAAAATTAGTGTGCTTTGAAGAGGTAAGGCAGAATGGATGATTACTAATGCTGTTAAAAACTATTACTTCTCATTCCATTAACAGAATTTCCTAATGCACAGCTCTAAAACTTTTCACAAGACCTTTAAAATACAATCAGTTTTCCTTGGCTATTTCCTAATAATTCAAACTGAATGCAGAACCTGACATGCAATCAGGCTAATACAGGTCGATATCCATTTTCTTTCAGTTAAACAGGAATTTTAACACAGTGATACCAGCTATGGAATCACAAACTGCTACTGTATATCTATTTGTCTATTTGCTGAACAGGCAGGGTGGGGACTGACTCAGCTGCCATGGAACCAACCACTGTAACTCACTAGGTAAAACAAAGCATATCACTACTGATTAAGACAAAACTAGTTTGAGAATCATTCAACATCAACCATATCTTTTTCATTTACATTTCATTCACAAATACAAGACTTAAACACTTTAAAAATTTGGTGTGATCTCACTTGGGAAAGTGGAGAGAAGATATTCTCTAACCAGAAGAGTTAAAAACACAGCTTATGAGATCAAAACCAAGCCCTACATAAAATACCTACGAAAAATCCTGAAAAAAATTATCCGCTTGTCTGCAGAAAGATCTGCTCTGTTTTTAGAAACGCACAGTAATGGAAGTTGATGGCTAAAATCTGTAAAACAATTCTCCACCCAGCTGAAATTGCCACAAAAGCTTAGGATACCATGAGGAAAGGAACTGTCAGAAGCTTGCCTAAAGACCGCAGCTAGATATTTGTCAATAGAACTGTGAGATGTCCAGGGTTTAATTTTACATGTCATCCAAAAAATGCCACAGTCCCCCCAGATGACATAGCAAATTATTCATGCATAAACTTAATTACCCATATGACATTTATCACAAACTTCTATCTGCATTGGCTGGTTATGATAACCTGAATTCTGAGTTTTTAATGTTGCTATGATGCAGTCATTAAAACAAATTAGGGACAGATAATATTAATAATTGCTTCATTTTTTTTACAACAAAGTTCTTGTTTTGGTAACTGTTTTCAAGGCTGAGTGACTGAGATTTTGCTGATGCATCACTCCATGCAGGTGTAATAGTCTACCTGAAAATGACTGATTTCATTCTGCCATTACAGGACATGGCTAAAATGATTAAATTCAGTTTTTTTCTAGGTCTCAAAGTATCATTTGCTTGTGTTTGGAAAGAAGTGCATGCTAGTGACCAAAAGGGAGGAAAAGACACATAGCAGACAAAATTATTGAGATGAATAGTGGACTACATAAAAAAACTCTTAGAAAGAGTTGCACAGACAACAAGAAATCCAGAGAAATGGAACTGGGAGAGGATTTCCATCTGATAAGGGTGTGCTTTATTGTCATACTCACCTGGCTCCTTTTCATTCTATTTCACTGCAGGTGGGTGAAGGAGCTATGACAAAGTTGCATTTAAAGCAATAGTTGACTGTGAACACATAGACAGCTTTAGGGTCTGGGAATTTTAAGCCAACATCTATGAAAATCCTGTGAGATTGCTCAACCTGTAGTTGATTAGTAGACAGTGATGTCTAATCCAAGAGCTATGAACCCTAGTACACTTGTGAGCCCTTAGTTACCATTTTGCACAGAGAATGAGAATGACTGTCACTTATGGTTTGGGTCATCTGAAGGATAACATCTATTGGAAGAACTGTGTGATTTTTTTCTGTGGAAATAGTGAGGGGGAATGTCTAAAAGAGTTTAATTAATTTGCATCCCTACAGGTGAAGAGTTAGACACTGTTGAGAATTAGAGAGTTAATGTAACTGTGAAAACTACATGGGATGATTTGGTGTGTCATATTGAATTATGGCAGCCTATATCCATGTCAAACAATGTATCTCTAAGGAGAAGATGTGAAAGTCAAGGACAATTTCTAGAGGTACCACCAATAGGCATTAAATAAATATTAAATATTCCGAGTAAAAATGCAGTCGAGAAGGAGCAATTTGGAACCAAAACATTCAAGGGCCTTGAAACCACAGAAAATTTCTACAAAATGTTAGGGGAGAGATAGTGGAGACGCCTACACCACATTTTTAATGGTTTAAAAACTTTTACAATTATATCATTGCTTCATTTGCACTGCATATAAGATGGAAGATCAATGCCACAGCATTAGTGACTATGATAAATCTTTGCAACCAGGCACAGCCTCTTGCAAAGAATTTTGTGCTATTGAAAATACTGAAAATTATATAGAGAGCAGGAGCTCTTGCCCTCCCAGAGATTATTGTGGAGCCACAGGCTGCTTTACACAGACAATTTTCTGAGGATAGGCACAACTAAAGATCTCATCTCAGTTGAACAATGAACGTAAAAAAAACTATCTACAGGAAATTCTGGATGCAGAAAAGAGCAACAGGTTATTCTTAACACAATGATGTGCATCTGATGGATTGCTAAGGATCTAATAACTGTCCAGTCTATCCTGATAAATCCTGATTCTAACCAGAACTCCTCCTTCCTGACCTCTGAAAACAGCCCATTTTTTGTGTTGCTACCGTCTTCAGAAAGACCCATTATTCACCTGCTTGAAAACCATATAGGCTGGCAAGGTTGAACAGTTCATTAATACTTCTAGTCTTGCATTTACATTGGGCATGAGAACCTGAGAACCAAGTGTTTTGCAAGAGATCAATAGACAATCTGGACTGGGTTGCAGTGTGCTAAAGTATATGTTCCAGTTGCAACAGGACACAAAGTAATCATCCTGTCAATCAACACCACATGTAATGGTGCAAATGCAAAGCTGAGGAAAGGAACTCTCCTTGATTTTAGCAAGTCCATACAATATACACAAATATTTGACAAGACCCACTGGCAGACATTCAAGCTGTATTGGAGTTTACTTTGGCATGAAAGAGTAACCCAAGCAACAAAATGATTTGGTGATAAGGGTGCTAAAAAAGGTGCTCACACCTTAATTTTTTTTCAACTGTTTAGCAGGTAGTTTTTCACTGGCAGCTGTCTTGCAACCTCTACTATGATCTATTTTGCTTCAGAAGGACAGAGTAGAGACTACCATCCCTATGCTGTGCTCTGAGTTCAGCATCTTAAATTCACTGAATCTGCAGTAATCTTCAATAAAGCTTTGGTATTCTTCATAATGTATCTAATGTAAGAGGTAACTATATTATTTGTCTATATACCTGATTCTTTTTAAATACTACACAACTGGACTAATATTCAGTGCCTGCAACATTCCATTGTGTTCTGGGTTAAAAACAAATTTCTTTGTTACCTCTTTAAAAATTGTCTTCTGAATTTTCAATAGGTTTATTTTTATTTTTATTTTTTCGTGGGTCTGTAGCAAAAAATAACTAGAAGCATTGGAATTGCCTCCTTTGCACAGCTCATTGCGTCAGAATTTTCTCTTAATCTTTGCCTTGCCACTACAATTTTGTTTGTCATCTCATGCATGAAATGGGCACTTTGCATGAAACATATACTTGGAGTAACTATTATTTTATTTTTGTCCTTTGTGTTATTTTAGTGTTCACTGTGTCTTTGGCCTGTTTACAGAGATGGAAAAATCCCCTGTGTCTATATTTTAATCATTTTATTAAAGTTGCTGATATGATTAACCTGTCTAAGTTTGGACTAGGGATATTCTGAAGTCAGTGGTATACATCCGGAAAAGTTATTCAGACAGTTCTGGATTGTCTTTACCTGTACAGCTCCATTTGCTTTAAAGGGGTAGCACTGGGGATGTGAGCTCTTAAAGTAGTCCAAAGTCTTTCTATCATGCACACCATGCAGCCTTGGAGGTGGAGAATAAAATAGTAGAACCTGGATGTAAGCAAATTAAAATGATCAGAATTATAGTTCTTTAGTTCTCATTTTTTTTATAGAATGTCTGTTAAATGTTTGTTAAAATCTGGTTAAGGGAAAGGATTGGGAGAGTCACCATCTCCCTGGTACTTTAGCAAGCTGAACTCCTGCCCTGAACTAGAAGAACTAGCATTTCTACTGCTCTGATATTGTTGGGTCTGTGACATCAGCCAGTGCATTTCATTTTTTGCTAGAGAACTCAGCCTCTGTCATTTCACTCTGAGACACTGAGAGTCTACATTTGTATGTGTCCTGGGGTGACTTTATGATACTGGTATCCCCAAACACCTGGTTTATGTTAATCTATTAACTTCTGTACCTTTAAGACTGGCTTTGAGAGCTAGGGAAGTTGAAACTGCTGGAGGCTGATGGGAGTTTTTCTCCTAGCCAATAACTAATAATTTCTAAGAATTGACAATGGTTTTGACCATTGAAAAGTGAGATCAACCTGTGAACACCTACCTTAAGATGTAAGTCTGGGAATTTCTTGTTCTCTTTGGTTTCTGGCTTCTGAGGAGGTAACAGGCTCCGGCTCGGCCTCCCCCCCTGCCCCAGGCCGGACAAGGCCGCAGAGGGTGGGGGTGGTGGGGGGAAAGTGGGGCCGGCCGGGTCAGGCTCGGTTTGCAGTTTCTGCCGCTGAACTGAAACCTGACACCATGAACATCTGCAGCTTGAGCAAGACTAACTCTTTTACTACCTGGATGAGACTTGCAGATTAATCCTTTTTTCCCAGAGAGAGGGGAAGACAGAGGGGGAGTGATCAACATGTAAGGAGACACCAGAAACTATCAAAGACAGTGAAAAAATGAATTACGTTTTAGATGGGGAAGAGAAAATAAGGAGATGCTTTAATAAGCTGAAATATTTTTCTGTTAAAGCTATGGAAATGGACAGTAGTGTTCTGAAAAAAAAACCTAATTTCATTCATGACAGAGTATATTGGGAGGAATGGAGTGTTTCAAAGTGTGGATTTTGAGCAATGGTGAAGTAGTTGTGATCCTGTGAGATGCTGGAACAGAGGGGGAGAAGTAATAGTTGATTTGTGGCCTTTAAGAGGCAAAGAGAAAACTTCTGTTTCCAGACAGGCTCACAAAAACAGATGAAGAGAACTTTTGCCTTTGAATAACTCATCCTTAAAAATGACATCCTTAGACTCATTGACCCATAACACACCTCAGAGTGATGTAAAATGGGAGGAGAGAACTGATGGCAGAATTTTCAGGCAGCTGGCATCAGAGAAATAGAAAGCTATGAAGAAAAATAGTTTACTTGTGAAAAACTCCATAGATTAGCAGAAGAAGACTTCTGTTTCTCTACAAAGACTGATGAAAAGACTAAAGCAAGAATTGGGACTATTTTAACCACCCAAGTTTTTTTTTTTTTTTTCTGTCTCTATGTTGTCATGTGAACAAGGGAATGGTTGGGTAGTTGGAAAAAAGGGTTTCTGGAGGTTTTATTCTGGATTCTTGTAGTTTTTGTTAATAAACTTTATTTGTTCCTTTTAAGTTTAAGCCTGTTTTGCTCTTGTTCTAATCCATATCTCACAGCAAGAAATAAGTAAGTTTTCTAGTGATTTTTTTAGGTACTGGTTTAAAACCATGACAGTGTGATATTGTGCTGAGGTTTTAAAAGAGGAGCTGCTAGATGAAGTGGCTAAAAGTGATTTCAGAAAGAGGATTCATTTGGGTCATTACACTGTGACAGGCACTGTGGGTCAAACCAGTGCCCTCAAAGGTGAAAAACAAATGGATTAGTCTAGTGCCCTTTGCATCCATAACCATCATACCAGATGTCAGCAGCTCTACATTTAAGCTGAAGCATCTTGGATACAGTTTCTTCCAGTTCCTGGAATGACATACTGTGTCTCCTCCAGCCGTTTTTAACAAAAGCTCTTGGGACTCAGATCATCTTTTTTTCCTTTTCAGTCAATTTCCTTATAAAGCAGGGAACATTCCTCCTGCATATTTCAAATCAATACCAAAGCAGCAGGATGATCTGCATACAAATCGACTTGCAAATTTACACCCTGTCTGACTCTGCCAACAGGATTAAAAATCGTTCATGAAACAACAGCTCCCTGTAATCACATCCAGGCAGATTTCAATAATAGCTCAGGCATATAAAAGCTTCTTGGTTTCATATGTATTAAAAACAGTTTCTTCTCATTTTCTACCTCTTCCTTGGATAGTAACTTCCCATTTTCTTGAAAGCTTTCTGTTCTGTGTTTTATCATCCATTCTCCAAAACCCCCATCTACTTAGTGACAGGAAAGATTTTTCCCATTAACCAAAATATATGGCAATTCTTTATACCCTAGTCTGATAGTAGACAGGATTTGGGAAAAAACTTGAGTCATCATCATTTCATCACAGATCGCAGCCACTATTGCCAAATTGTCACTAAATTTTGATGTACAATGAACCTGGTAGTTGTAATTCTACTCTCCGTGGACAGATGTCCACTTCAGAAAAAACATCAGTATCCTGTTCAACATCTTATGAACAATAGCAGGCAAAACAGTTAAGACTTCCTCACTGGGCTGCTTTGATTTCTGCTTCAGATTATGATGTGACTGTGTAATTAAACGTAGTTCCTGCTGTCTCTAATTACACTGCATTTTTTTTCTGGTTCACAGATTCATCTTGATACAGTGTCATTTTCAGTTATTGTGGAAATAGAGCAGAGAAAAGGGGGTTTTCTAAAAATTGAAACAATACATAAATACAAAAAAACATACTTCATTCTGCAGTTCCTTTTGTCCAGGAGACCTGAGACAGAAGTCAGGAGCCGTGAACAATTTTTGTCTTTCGGTGACAGGGCTGTGAAAGACCGATTCCAGTCGGAGTTCTTGGTCGCCTCATGGGGACGATCTGTCACCATTTGTCAGGGGTGATTCCTGCATTCACAGCTTTAGAAAGAGTAGTTACTGACTGCAGGTATAATAGGATGCATGAGTTTGGAGGGCAAAGCAAGGTTTTTGGCAAACATAATAATCACTGCAGAATGAATTCAGTCTGAAGTGCCTGAAATCTACTTGTATCTTTTTAGTTACTTAACCATTTCAGCACTCAGAGCACAGATCTGAAACTCAGCCCAAACTGCCCCCAAAGTGAAATGATAATAAAAGCTACAGTGTATTAATTTTTTTCGTATTACTTTTTTTTTGAACAAACATAGTTATTAATTAAGCAATCTGGAAAAACATCACTTGTACTAATTTTTCTTTTTTCTTATTAGGGGGGCCAACAAATTGGCAATCCCAGGAGAAAGTATGTGAGAAGAGACAAATAGACTGAGTTGCTGAGAATAAGACTAACTCAAACCAGGCACTTTCAATGCAGAACTGTGGATCAGCACAGTGGTTTGGTTTCCCTTGTGCACACAGTAAAACTGGCCTTGGCACTCATATATAATGTGCAACAGGCACAATGCCTGTGCTTCTTGAGTGTTTTATGAAGAATATATCTTGCAAATATCCAAATTCAAAGCAGTTTGAAACAGTGAAATGGGTATGAAAGCAACTACCAAGTGGTTTCTTTTCCATTACATGTATTGCTCCCTGCTGGCATACAGGAAGAGCTTCTCAGCCATACCATTACTTCTATTGTCATTATTTAATAATGCCATTATTTATTTTTGCTGCTTCCACAGTGAGCAGCTGGGATGCTGCAGGCATGGGAAGAGGAGAGTGGGCTGTGTAAGTTAAGGCTGAGAGCTGTGGTGAGTGAATTGCTCTTAGAGCTGCTGGAGTGGTGGTCTATAGAGAGGGGGTACAGTAATTACTGGTGCTACTGGGAAGGAATACTCCATGCAACATCACTACCTCTAAATGTCATCCAGTCCTACTGCTGGCATCAGGTATCAATTCTGAGGCTGACAAAGGCATTACAGAGTAAACAGGTGGAATGTAACTATTTACTGCTCTCACCCACAGCCTGCTTTGCTCATATCTTTGGCCTGGGGCTCACAAGACCCCATATGATTAATCCACCCCTACTCAGTGAATTAGCAGAGGCAAGGAACAGCATCTGCTTGACTTTGTAGACAGTATATTGCTCTAGTGAATTGAAACTATGAAGAATTCTTTAATGCTAAAATGAATCTGGCTTGAGAAGCTATGTCATGAATAGGATCCTAGGCTTGCAGGTCTTAGATGCACCTGGATCTGGGGTGCAGAAGTCACAGAAGAGTTTCAGTGTAGTTTGGCAGTAATGTGAAAGTGAAAAATCAGACTGTATTAAAGGGAGTGCTTACTTTCTGTATTTGATGGAATAATAAAATTACTTCTATGTTAATATGTTCTGCAACATCTTTAATTCTTTTGCTTTATACAAGGACCTCTTAAATCATACCTTTGCTGTTAGAATCAAAATAGAAAGCAGCTAGGTCTGCTTAATGCATGGTTCTGGAACTTGCCTGTTCAGCAAAGGGCCTCAACAGAGGCAATCAAAAACATCCTGTAAATTAGGTTGTAGTACTTCACTGTGATTTTTTGACTCTAGCTATTAACATAAATGGACTCCTTACGCACTGAGCTCTCTTAAAATGAAAACTGGAAAGTCTCTTCAAGGGAAGTAATTTTTTGTACCTAATCAACTAGTTTTCATGTTTTCAACAGGTGCTCTTTACATATTTGTATGTTCAAAATACACAAATCAGACTGACTCTTATGACTAAGCTATATTTGCCTAATATAATTTTTTCTCATGGAAAAGTTCTGTAGCTATGAGTACATTATGGCAAACTGAAACTAATGCTGATAGTGCTTTCACACATGAACTAAGAACTGCACATTATGCATCCATTATGTAAAGTAGGACAAACAACACACAGCAACTTCCTGTTGCGACACTGATACTTTTTGGAGATGTGAAGAAGAGAGGTAATACAGAAATGCAAAGTGCTTTCTTCTGTGCAGGTCTGTGGATTTCCATGGCCACCATCACCCTGGCCTTTAATTGAGATCACCGTTCACTGGTAGAGCTGGAGGCAGAACTTTTGGGATGGTGAACATGGAGAACATGGGAAATGTTGCAAGCTTTTCTTGAAAACTGTCTCTGCTAATAAATCCTAGCAAATTCCAAGGGCATTGAATCTTGATTGCTAGAGTGGCACCTGGCATTTGGCCCATGCCAAATAGCAGTTTCCCAAATTATTCCTGGGCTTTGCTTATTCTCAATAAGCAGTTTGCATGCAGCACTCTGTTTCAGTAGGTCGCAGAATAAACCAGCACAGGCATGGGACATCCTTTGCCACTTGGCATCAGTATCTAGGAATGTTCCTGCTCACATTACATTTACTACCATGTGATGTGGCCAGAATGCCTGATGCACTGGGTGTATTAATGAGGGACTGCAGCCCTCCTGGTCCCTTGGCAGTTCTGCACCTGTTTAAAGCAAGCACTGTATGCATTATGTGCATCATAAAAGAGAAATCGTAAAGAAAACAAGGTATGGAAATTAAATTCTTTCTAAACCATTTGGCTTGCATTGCTTAATAAACTCAGTTTTGGAATATCTGCTTTGGTGCTTATTTTCTGGCCAGGGAGATGTAAACATACAATCCAGCCTCTTTGGGAACACATGTCATAAGACATTAAGGAGACAACTGGACAAATGCCAAGAAATATCTATAGGACTTTGACAGATATGCCAAATAGCAAACATCACACTTGCTAGTCATATCCCCCTGAGTCATCATGTAATTGGGCTGTGAAATTGTGTGCCAATGCTGAAGGCTGTGCCCACCTCCTTAGCTACAGCCAGGAAGTGAAAGGAGGGAAATGTCGCTCATGTCCTTCCCATACTGGACTACTGCTGAGCTCTAAAATATCACCTACTGACAAGATGGGCCAAGCCTGACAGACACCAGGACTGGTGCTTGACACTGGAAACTCAGTCTCAATTCAGTGATACAGAAAAGGTGGTTATCACAGGAGAAAATATTAATGTTAGACACAAAGCTTTTCCCTCCTTCCTCTGAGGAGAAGACAAGACACTGGATGGAGTATACCAAGGTGAGATTTGGTCTGCAGGATACCAGCCTGACTCTACCTGTTTAGACCATCCTGAGGGCTACTTCAAACTGCATTCCCAAAAAAGTCACATTCAGACATATTTTGTTTAGGCCTAAATCCTATCAGCATTGTGGCACAAACATTTTCTTGAATACGACAATGAGGCACTACTTTGGTCGTACCATAACTTGGTCCCCTCCCCTATTACAGTTTAAGTTCTGAGATAGGAATCTGGGAATGAAGTGCATTACTGACAAAACAGGCAAATTAAGTAAATGGAACAGAATGTCTCTATTTCAGAGTTGCAGTTACTTTTGATACCTGCAGTGTGCATCAATGAACTGTAGAGCAATGCTTTACAAAAGTTATTAAGACTTGGTAATATGAGACCACTTGACGATAACCACTGGGAGAGATGTGCTTAGACCTGGGGTGAGTCTGTAATGTCTTTCCAGGGGAATAAAAAGCACTGATGCCATAGACTTAAGCATTAGAATCCACATGGTTCTGTTAACTCCCAAGAGAGAGAAAATTGATAAAATGTTGTCATTAGGATGCGTTTCCATAAGTGCTTTGCAAGACCACTATTTACATGTGATAGTAAAATGAAAAAAACCCATTGATTTATATGGGGGTTTTATCACTTTGAGCTAGATGTGCACAAACCACCATGGTTTTCCTATAAAATATCACAAGCTAATAGCATCTCTGGTGTAAAAGCTGACTTATTTAGGATAAATTCAGATTTCTGATTAAAACAGCAATTGGTATTAAGCATATAGGGAAATTTATAAAGAATTTTTCTGATGGATTGTTGGAAGTACTAATTTGTATGAAGACTATTTGTTACTAATTTATATGAAGATTATGCATAGTGCATAATCCTCTTTCTTTCTTGTGAGGCTAACATAAAACTGATTGTTGGAGAGGTGCTTTCAGGAGAGTAAGGCAGTGTCTTAGATAAGGAAATCCCTTAAACATCACCTGGTCAGGTGAATTCTAGCCTTGACTGTTGTTATCAATGAATGTTTGAGATCACTGAAATAATCACCAGCAAAGGTATCAGTAAAAACCAGATTTAGTATCTAGCAACAGCAGGACAGAGTTCATTGGCAAGGATTGCTCTACTGCTTACTAGGTGGTTAAGGCATACCAGAGGAAAAAAAGAGCTACAAACAAAATCCAGTCAATTAATCCAAACTGAAATTAACCAAGAACTGTGTGTGTGTTATGTGTGTGTGTGTGTGTATTTGTGTGAGACAAAAGGATAGGAATGGCAAGGATAATAAGGAATACGGCCTAAAGGCTCACAGCACTCAAACTTAATAGTACTTAACAATTTAGCAAAGGAACAAGACTTTACCAGTATTTAACTTAGCTGATAACTTTTCAGGCCTAACTGATTAAATACCTAAAGTACTTAAACACCTAAGAGAGCAGCATTTCTTCCAAATTTGCCATAGCATTTGCATATGTCTGTGTCAACACACACAGACATAAAGAGTCAGTGCAAGGTGCCTGTGACAAATTCCCCTGGGGCAGTGAAATGCTCACCTTGGATGCCTTTGCGTCTCCTGACGAGTGAAAGGTGGGGCCTCGAGGAGTGGGGGTTTCAGCCCAGGATCCACTGTAGTTCAGCAACCTCTGAGTACAGCAAACAAGAGATCTCTGGCTCTAGGAGGTGCCCCTCAGAGGGAGGGTGCTGGTCCTGGAGAGCTCCAAGGGCCTCATTTTGGATCTCTGTCCATAGGCCGCAAGCAAGGGCCTTAATCACAGCAATGTTTCACCCTGGCCACGGTTTGGGCAACTTTCTTTGAAAGAACAAAACTGTTATGCCATTCAGGCAAGAAAAGTCGTTTCCAAGGCTGTTCATAATTAAAGAACCCCAAGAGCCTGTTAGAGCAGCAGTTTCTGGAGCAGACGATGTTTCTGAGGCACTCGAGATGCTGAGTCCAGGCGCTGCTCATCAGGGCTGAGGCCTAACGAGCTTCTGGGGTCATAGTGCGGCCTGCAAAGGGATGGGGGAATGCTCCTCCACATTGACAAATGGGCTCTCTAGCCTCTGATTACTTTTTCATACCGCTGAAAATCTGAGATCTGTTATTGTACCATGTCTGTGTTACAGGGTGCTAGAGAAATCTGTGTCCTGTTTTTCTGACAGATCAGACTGACAGAGCATTAGAGGCAGAAAGAAAGAGCTGGTAAGGCTGGTACAGGCATGCCACAGCTGAAGTATCGGGTTTCAACCCACAGGGTGTGGGTAACACAGCACAAGTACCAGTCCTCCTGATTGTTTGAAATATATGCCTTTAAATCCTTTGTTGCAGTTAGTAACTACTTTGTTGCAGTAGTTAACTACTACTTTGTTGTAGTTAGGCTACATCAATTTGCCTGTGACTCTGTCAGTGAATCCTACTGCTGCCTACAGGATTGTGAGAGAGAAATCCACTGGGTGCAGTGCTCATTGGCACTTCTGGAAAAACCCCACTGGTTTTGAACTGTACCCACTGTAGAGTTTTAATTGGTGCAGTCTGGCCAGACGACTGCAGATGACAGACAGGACAGACTATTTCAGTACTGTCACAGTATCCATAACATGATTCTGGATACACACTGTGCTATCCTAAGTGTAAAGTCACTCAATCCTATACAAGACAGCAGTCAGAGTGAGTGGAATAAAAGATACCTGAATTATGACTTTCTCTGATGCTACATTTTGTAGGGGCAAATTGAGTGGTTATTTAATCTTATAAATGTCAGCTTCCCCTTATTTGACTGTGCTGAATTTTCAAAAAATTTGTATTGCAAAGCACTAGAAATCTTTAAATAAAATGGACTACCTAATGGTAATTTCCCCAATATAATGGCATACTAATGTCCAAGATAACATGAGATTAATAAGTTTCTAGGCCTTTTCTCTGTACAATGAATGAATCAGGTAGATTTATATTAATGTTTGGTTATACACAGAAGATATGATAATATATGTACTTAGTCATCATGCTATCAGAGTCAGAATGGAAGGCAAATTTAAATATTTGGCACTTTTGTATATGAGAAACAGACATTGTCACATGCATCCGTGAGCACATGTAACAATTTCTGTTACATGAATACTGGATCTGGGAAGAAGCCATGTCATAACATCTGCACTTATAAAATCTGGATTTAAAACTCTAATTTATTCCAAAATTTACTTGTTTAACTTAGTCCATAACACAACTGTAGGAGAATTGTATCTCCAAGATCTCTCTATAAAGAATAAAGAAAAATCAAATTCTATATAGGGTGATATATAAAGTGATTTAGGCTACTTTTACCTTTTCACTAATCATAGAAGAAATCTCTGGCTATCAAGGTTTTTACCAGGCTTTAATTCCATGATGATTTAAATTGAGATAAATTCAAATCCCTGTTAAATTATTTCCTCCTCCTCCCGTGTTCCAGCTATGATGCTCATGGGTCCCTCTGGTGAACATGTTCAATGAGTGAAACTGGGAAAAAAACTATTTTTAGAGAAAAAAACCAAAAATAACAAAACAGCCCAAAAAGTAGCTGTCTATAAGTTTCACTCCCTGTATTGGATATTTTTACAATATGAAATACCTAGATATCTAATAACTAATATTTAAATTATATATATATATAAAAATAATATCTAAATATAATATCTAAATATCTAATATCTAAATACCTAATTACCTAAATATCTAATATCTTGGCTGGCCCAAGAGATTAGGCAAGCGTGACTGGAGACAAGAACAGAGATCTGGGACTAAGGACAGGATCATGACAATGTTAACTTACATCTGCTTTTCATTAGAAGTGTCTGGATTTAAATGGAAAACAGAGATTGTATACTGTAATTGAAAACAAAAGATGCTAGGGAAATTCAGGAGCTGTAGATACCTACAGAATTTCAGGCCTAATTTTAGGCTTGGCTGTAGTTTTGTTATGTGTTTATAGGCAAAGATAAGCTTTAATCTGTATCCAGATTTGTGCAAAACAAGTGCAGAGTGAGTTCAAAACATTGTCATATCAGGATGGAAGCTGTGTCTAATTAATTCCCCTGATACTGTAGGATAATTTTCCATTGCATGCTCAAGAGTATTATGTTCAATTGTGAATTTTAAATAATCTATCCTTTTGGGTGTCTGGTTTTTGTAAGAAAAGTAATTCACAGCTCCAAACCAATGCTGTTGGAAATCCTTTGAATGATCCTTTATTTTCCTTAATTTAGTCTTAATTTTTCTATTTACTACTTTATCAAATGTGGCAGGCATAGTGATGGGAGATAATGAACTTTTAGCAAGCTTTTATCTTATCTGGAGGGAATGATAGTATGCAAATCTAGCTAATTAATAAAACAAAGCAAACTACAGCTCTAGGTTTGCCAACGTAGTGTCTCTTGCTAACCAGTTCTCAAGAGCAAACAAGCTCTGCTGTTGGAAAGGTGTTGGAAGCATAAACTTCTCATAGTATAGCTGCACTGTCTTAAGAATGGGAGCTGTGTCTCAAATGCAGGCTCCCCAGGCTTCCATGCTAGCTCATATCTGGAGGAAGTCATATGGCTGGCAGGCTGTAGATGAGGCAAAGCTTGAACTCCAAGATAGAGGCTTGAACTCCCACCCAGGCAAGCAAGTTGAGTCCTTCACCTGGCACATTGAACTGAAGCCACAATCAGTCAGACATAAAAATGTAGTTCTACAAATGACTTCTGGATGAGAGGAAGAGGCTGAAAATGTGTTACTTGAAACCCATCCTCAGGGTTAAGGAGAGCTAACAGAACTTGTAAGCTGCAATAATGTCAATAAAGTATTTCCTGTGGTAGCTCATCAACTGACTGCAGATAAGAATTTAAAATTTCCTTTATTTGCAAGAATAAGAAGCAGCATAGCCATTATCTCACTAAATTATGTTTTTACTCGATCACTTTCAATTAAGCATATTTTCAACAAGTTCATTCCATTTTGCAAGATAATACTCCTTAGTGCATATACTTTGGAATGTCTGAGAAGAAAGAGAACCAGCAGTTTCAAACCTCACCTCATCAAAGCCTTGAATAATATCTGGTAATGGCTTACTCTGATATCTCTCATCATGATGGACGTTGAAACCACTTGAGAAAGCAGGGAGAGAAAATGACATCACCTTTCACCAAAATGCTGCCACTTAAATGCTGCCACTTCTGAGGACAAACACTCAAGTGGCAAACAGGGGAATGACGGCAGATGAAGGATGCTTTCTGCCATGAAAAGAAGAAATAATGAAAACTAAGTACAGCATCCAATCATGAAAACCATTTAAAACACTACCCTTCCCTCTATCAATAGGAAAAAATCCATTAGTATTTAATAACCATAGAATATTAGGAGGGTTCTTGGTTTTTATTTCAAATTGAAAAATGACACCTGGCGGCACAATGACTCATAAAAAATACTGGAGACCTCGTTATTATTAACTTGGAGTAGAAATTGTTATTATTTTGTACTGCAGAACTACATCATGCAAACCCCTTAAATTTCACTGGAAGTTTGCATCTAACTACTGACCCATGTTGTGCCATTTGAAGAAATCATAGGCTGAGGCAATAATAATGCTATTTGGCACTTTACATCTTTAAAGAACTATGGAAATGTTAATTAATTTCTACAACAGCCTGGGGAGCAAATATTTTCATACTGATTTTACAGATTAAGGGGATGAAACATAATGTGTGGACATGACTTCTCCAGGCCACTCTATCAAATAAGTGTCAGATGTGGGACTAGAACTCAAAGATTCATCAGGCCTTTAAACAATGTTGCCTGGGGGCAGCCACTCATTTATTTATTAAAAGTAACTTAAACCATTTACAGCTTCTCTTTAATATGCTATTATACTGTGTATTGATTATTTACAATAAAAGCTGATTATGAGGACTTGTTTTGTTCCATTTTTACAAATATTTTTTTTATATTTAGACTCAACTTCAATATTCTTTTCCATAAAATTAAGTGCATTCCAATACAGAAATCAGGTATCTTAAAATATGTTCAGAAGAGATCAGGATAGTGTATTGGAGCAGAATGCCTGTGTCAGAATGAACGTATTAAATTTGTCTTTCCTTCCCCTGTTTAGCTGCTTTTTCTTAATGATATTTCATTTTATAAAAGTGGATCCTATTCTTTTGGCCTGTTGTTTTGTTTTTATTTTATTCTTGCTTTGAAACAGTAGAGAGAAAAGTTTTGAATACATATTTAAAAAAATTATTATTAACTTAAATCTCCTTTACCCAAGAGCTCCAATGTCTTTTGGAAACATTTTTAGTACACCAAAACAAAGGCTAAGAAATGTAGCAACTTGGCCAACAGATCAACTCAGTGGCCAAAATGCAAAGTATTTGAGCAGATAATAAACCTCATTTACCAAACCAATACATCTCAAAATTCATATTAAATACAAGGACAAGAAAACAAATAAGACAGACGTGCTACCTTACTTAACATAATATTTAGTCTGATAAAAGTTTTTAGCCTGGGACAGTCAAAGAACAAATCCAAAAGCTGAGGAGACCTCTTCTTCCTCTACTTGATTGTCTCCCTAAGTATCTGAGGTCTGGTCTAACAGAACTAACAGATGTTTTGCTCGTGCTGCCTTACAGTGCATCTAGAAAAATACACTTTATAATGCAAAAGGAAATGATCCACTTCCAAAATAAGCACAATTCTTTCCAGTCAGTGTCCCAGTTTTGTCAGTCTTAAGACCCTGAATACACTTGAGAACCAAGAGTGCAGAATTCTCCTGACAGCATTAGGCCCATACAAAATCAATCTGTTTCATTTTCTCTTATTTAGAAAAGAAGCTCTTCAGCTTCACCCTGCAGAGCATTCACTCATCTATGCCTAAACAGTGCATTTTGCTTCCAGTTCACAAGAATTCATTTCAATCACTATTTGAAGACTGAGACAGCTGAATTGAAAGCAATATATTTTCCTATGAAAGAAAAATAAAGATATTCTGTAAAGTCCTTTGGAAGGAATTCTGATAGGAATCTGATTAGGAGTCCCACTCCAGATTTTCTAGAACTCTGTCTACATTTTAATTCTGTTACAGCTACCAACACACGATAGTGTGTTCTTTGCAGTAACTTGTGGCAAATATCAGTGCCAGTTCAATTGGTTTGTTGGCATGGTGTTTGGGAAGATGACCAGGATTCTAGCATACAAAGAGTCTTCTAAGGGTGCTCCAGTGCAAAAAGGAGAAAGAAGTGAGGGAAAAAAAGGAGAACAGCAAAAAAAGTGCTTGTCACTGTTTCTGTTTACACCTTTAAAAGCAGGTGAGTTCTTGGGCCCAAATGTAGCCAAGCCAGAGGGCAGAAATCATCTTCCAAATCCAACATGACCAAAATGATTCCAAGCATAATTCCCAACATAGTTCCAAATGATTGGAATCTGACACCAATGTAGAAATCCCATGCTCTTCAGGTTAATTAATTAATTTTATTATCATAATAAGCTCTACTAAATCTTTAATTAACATCCAGACAAAAACTTGTTTAGTTAGAACAGCCCCAAAATCTGGTTCCTTCTCTACTGTCCTCAAAGACTGCTGATGTTTCTTATTAATATCCACCTGAGAACATGGAATCCTGTCTGCACAACCTGATTTCATGGCCACAGCAATTTCAGAAGAATGAATATAGTACCAACATGTTTCTGCTAAAGAAGCTTTCCTTCTTTAAGAAGACTGCCCTTAGCAGTCATGAAATTTCAGTGGAGGAAGCTTTCCACTGGCCTATTTCTCCTTCCTCATTATAGGAATCCTGGTTTTCAGCAGTCTTCACATAAAGAACTTGTATTCTCCCCACTACTACTCACCCATATAGGAATATTGTCTCTTGCTGCACAGGTATCTAACTAGAATCACAGCCTAGCCCATAACATCCTATAGTTAAGAAAAACACACTTCAATCCACTTGGAGTGATCCAAGGAAGTAGACAGTGCCATTTTTTACTGAGAGAAACCTTTATAATACCATGCAGGCTAAATTGTGGACATTGTAAAGACTTCTTAACTACTATTTTACATTTCCATGTAATGGAATGGATGACAGTACTGATTTCATATAAGGTATGGAGGGTCTGTCTGTTTTGGTGAAAACCCTGACCGTTGTGGAACTAGGTAAATCTAGAGCTAGGGGAGCTGGCACAGCCTACATTTGCTTGAACTACAGCTCTAGTTAAAAATGGCTACCTAGAAATTATTCCTACTGGTCACCATCTCTGTAGCACATGATTCAAACCTTCCTGCTGAGACTTCTGCAGGAAACCCACCTCTTTCATAGGCCTGTTCTCATCTCCCTCTTAAAACAGTGTCCATTTTTCTTCTCCCCTCACTGGTAGTGAGGACTACCAAGGCAGCATTAAAATTTGGGTTTCCTTCCATCCAATGACGAACAGAGTGTCCCAAAGACCTTTATGTAAGCCTTCTGGAAGAAGGCATTCAGTACCTTGTTTAGTTATGGCTCCTCCATTAACATACATATGATGATGCTCTGAAATCCTCTTGAAATTTTTTATTAAAAAGACCTTTCCCTTGCAGTGTCTGTTCAATACA